TAACTTAGTCGTGACAACTTGTTAATCTCATAGTTTTTTTTTGGGACGTTAAGCTGTTGAATTAGGCTATCTCTCCACAACTTGGTTCCATACACAAAGATTTGTCGCCTTTGAGGTAAGTCTACTTACCTTCTTCTTTAGTTAATAATTGTCTATTTTTTGCAGGTTTTTTATGCTCTTTATTTATTAGGAATTTTCTTATAACAGTCTATTTTTTGCATGCTTTTAATGCTATTTATTTATTGTTGTAAATAGTAATTATGTAGTCATTAATTAATAATTATGTAGTCATTTATTAGTAATTATGTAGTCATTTATTTGTATTTATTTAGTCCGTTACTTGTATATTGGGCCAAGCCCATTAGGTCAAAATTAGGTCAAGAAGTCTCTATAAATAGAGACCCCTATGTACAGATTCAAATACAAATCAATAATATTTCATAACCCTTTTTCAAGTTGGTATCAGAGCTCTCGATCCTGAGGGCTCTGCTTCCGCGCCTATTGTCTTTTTTTACAAAACCCTAATTTCTTTGTGTCTTGCCGCCATCAGCCGCCACTGGAAAAAAAATTTCGGGGACCTTTTGGACCAAGGGGACCACTGTTGACCTTCTTTTTTTTCGTTCTATCATTCTACGCAACGTTCCTCCGCCACAAACGACCCAAACACCTCCGACCGCCTTCAACCAGTTCTGTCTTCACCGTTTAGAACCCTTTCCGGTGACTTTTCAACTGCAACCACCCACAGACAGGTGCGCGCTCACCGGACGACCACACCGGAAAAATTTCGGCCGGAGAAGCCTTGCCACGCGCTCTCACGCGCTGCCTCTTTGTCCGCGAGTGAAGCCCATGCGCAGCTGCTTTCTCCGGCGTGTGGAGGCGCGTCCAGCGGTGTTTCTGGACCGGACCACCACCATTATTCTCGTCTCCTTGTTCTCTTTCTGGATCTGTGTTGTTTTCTCAGATCGGACATCGTTTGGTATTTTTTCCGAATTTTTTGGCTTCTTAGAGCCTTTTTCGTTGACTGTTTTTTTGTGCAGTATGGCCTCTTCTCAAAGGAGTTCCTTTACAAAGTTTTATGATGATGCATCTTCTAAACCTAAGAGAGATGATCGATGGTGTTCTTATTGTAAAAGAACAGGTCATATCAAGGATTTATGCTTTCGCCTCCATGGAAAGCAAACTGTCTTAGAAAAGATGGCAAGGATGCGTGGTCAAGCACATTTTACTTCCTTTGGAATAACTCCTGCACCTAATGAGACCCAACCTGCATTTCGTCTAGATGAGTTAGAACGGCTCCCAACCATCCTTGATTATCTGAGTAAGCCATCTGATACTAGTGCTTTGGCTTTGACTGGTATGAGCCCCAAAACTCATTCTTTCCTTTCTTCATGTAATGATTTTAAACATTCCTGGGTTGTTGATTCTGGTGCTACTGATCATATGGCTTGTTGTGCTGACTCCTTTGCTTCTTATCATCCTACCATTGGAACTCATACTATAGCCATAGCTGATGGCTCACATACATCAGTTGCGGGTTATGGTGACATAAACTTACAGCAGTCCTTACATCTTTAAGATGTTCTTCATGTTCCTAAACTTTCCACGAATCTTCTTTCTATTCATAAAATTACAAAAGATCTGAATTGTACTGTAACCTTCTTCCCTACCCATTGTGTTTTTTAGGATCTCGCCACGGGGAAGACGATTGGTAGTGCTAAAGAGCAAGGTGGGCTGTACTATCTGGTGTCACAATCTCCTGCAAATAAAGTAACAGATCACATCTTGATGTCTCATGGTCAATCAACTGCTGATTCTTTGATTTGGCATCATCATAAGCGCTTGGGACATCCTCCATTTAGTTTACTCAAGTCTTTATTTTCGTCATTGTTTTTATCTAAGCCTGTTGAGTCTTTTCATTGTGATGTTTGTGAGTTTGCTAAGCATCATCGTGTGTCTTTTCCTTCTAGTAGTACTAAGAGTGTTGAACCTTTTGATCTTATTCATTCTGATGTTTGGGGTCCTTCTAAAGTCCCTCATGCTTCTGGAAATAGATGGTTTGTTTCTTTTATTGATGATTGCACTCGTGTAACTTGGGTTTACTTAATGCATGAAAAGTCTGAGGTACCACATCTGTTCTTTCAATTTTATAAAATGGTTGAGACCCAATTTGGTAGAAAAATCAAGAGACTAAGAACAGATAATGGTACTGAATATGTTAATCACAGTTTTTCCCAATTTATACGAAATCAAGGTATGATTCATGAACTTACTTGTGTAGACACCCCTAAACAAAATGGGGTTGCTGAAAGAAAAAATCGTCACCTTCTTGAAGTTGCTCGTGCCTTACTGTTTCAAACACATGTACCCAAATGCTATTGGGGAGATGCCATTCTTACTGCAGCGTTCTTGATCAACCGTCTACCCACTCGGGTTCTCGATCATGTAAGTCCTATTCACTCCATGACTTCTTTTTTTCTTCTGTTCCAACTTTGCAAAGTCTTCCTCCTCGAGTGTTTGGGTGTGTTGTCTTTGTTCATATTCATAAACAGCATCGCAGTAAGTTGGATCCTAGGGCTCTTAAATGTGTCTTCCTTGGATATGCTCCTGATAAGAAGGGCTACAAGTGTTATCACCCTGGTAGTCGGAAATTTTTTGATTCTATGGATGTTACATTTAAGGAATCTGAGTCCTTTTTCCAAGGTCCTCATCTTCAGGGGGAGAATAATTCACTAGAAGACTCATCACCTTCCTTCTTTGAATTTGAATCTTTAGTGTCTACTCCTTCACCTGAGTCAATGTCCCTTCCTCTTGTTCCTGTTCCCAATGTGTTTATGTCTGATCCTCCCGTGACTGATCCTCCTATGACTGATACACAGCCCACATTGCCTCAGCAGCAACCTCAATCGTCTGAACCACTGGTAAGTCCTGAATCTCATATTTCTGATCATGATACTTCTGATGACTTACCCATTACTACTGATTCTGATGATTTACCCATTGCACTTAGAAAAGGAAAAAGATCATGTCCTAAGAAATCTTGTTCCTCTTGTACTCAATACCCTATCTCCCATTTTGTTTTCTCTGCTAATCTGTCTGTGCAGCACAAATGCTTTGTTTCAGCACTAGACTTTATTGCAATCCCAAAATCAGTACATGAAGCCTTGAAAGATGGGAATTGGGCTCAAGCCATGCAAGAGGAGATGAATGCATTGGAGAGAAATAAAACATGGGAGGTTATTGATAGACCTACTGGAAAGAAAGCAGTGGGGTGCAGATGGGTTTATGCCCTGAAATATAATTCTGATGGAACTCTTGAGAGATACAAAGCTCGATTAGTTGCCAAAGGTTACTCTCAAACCTATGGCATTGATTATGAAGAAACATTTGTTCCAGTTGCAAAGATGAATACGGTGAGAGTTTTGTTATCCCTTGCTGCCCATTACAATTGGGATATAAACCAATTTGATGTGAAGAATGCTTTCCTCAATGGTGAGTTAGAAGAAGAAGTCTACATGAAAATTCCGCCTGGTTTTGATTCTGTGAAGGGAGAAAATAAAGTTTGTAAATTAAAAAAGGCCTTGTATGGATTGAATCAGTCACCTCGTGCCTGGTTTGGAAAGTTTACTAAGGTTATGATGACCTTAGGATATAAAGAAAGTCAAGGAGATCACACTCTTTTTTTCAAGCACTCCCAAAATGGGAAGCTTACTGTGCTCCTTGTATATGTTGATGATATTATTATCACAGGTGATGATTTTGTGGAGAGACAGATTCTGCAAACACGGCTTGCCTCTGAGTTTGAAGTCAAAGACCTTGGGAAACTGAGATATTTCCTAGGGATAGAAGTGGCTCATTCGAGCAAAGGAATCTTTATCAGCCAGAGGAAATATGTTCTTGATCTTCTCAAAGAAGCAGGAAAGCTCGGGTGTAAACCCTCTAATACTCCTATTGAGCAGAATCACAAGATGTGCTATGAAGAGGAGAGTCCTCCAGTTGATAAAGGACAATATCAACGGCTAGTTGGAAAATTGATATATTTGGCCCATACTAGACCAGACTTAGCTTATGCTGTTAGTGTTGTCAGTCAGTTTATGCACGATCCAAAGGAGAAACATATGCAGGCAGTAGAGAGAATTCTTCAGTATCTGAAAGGTACTCCTGGTAAAGGGTTGTTATTCCGACGTGATGGCAATCTATCTTTAGAAGTCTACACAGATGCTGATTATGCTAGATCCGTGACTGACCGTCGTTCTACCACTGGTTATTGCATGTTTCTTTGTGGTAACTTGGTGACATGGAGAAGTAAGAAACAAGATGTGGTCGCCAGATCAAGTGCAGAAGCTGAATTTCGAGCTATGGCTCAAGGCATTTGTGAGTTACTGTGGCTGAAAATTGTACTTGATGATCTAAAAATAAAATGTGAGGGACCTATGAAGCTGCTATGTGATAATAAGTCCGCTATTTGTATAGCTCATAATCCAGTTCAACATGATCGGACTAAACATATTGAGGTCGACCGCCATTTCATCAAAGAGAAACTTGATAGCGGGTTGATTACCACTCCATACATTCCCACTGGGCGTCAATTAGCTGATCTATTGACAAAGGGGCTTCCTTCAGATAGATTTCAAGAACTTGCTAGCAAGCTGGGAATGATAAATATCTATTCCTCAGCTTGAGGGGGAGTGTTGTAAATAGTAATTATGTAGTCATTTATTAGTAATTATGTAGTCATTTATTTGTATTTATTTAGTACGTTACTTGTATATTGGGCCAAGCCCATTAGGTCAAAATTAGGTCAAGAAGTCTCTATAAATAGAGACCCCTATGTACAGATTCAAATACAAATCAATAATATTTCATAACCCTTTTTCAAGTGAGAACCACTAAAATTAACCCATAAAATAATAATAATAATAAATTATTTTCCCTTGGCTGATATGAACTGCAATGAGCTCAACTGGAAGTCTGGACTTTCGTTTTACAACTGCTAACTGAACATCTGGAGTCTGGACTCAAGAGCTGCAACTTGGGTGTTGGGAGGACTGGGTGTGGCGATTCCCCCAGCTTCTGGGCACTGTATTGCTTCCCTCTGTTTGTGGGAGCTTCAGGGAGCAGATTGTTATTAGGGAGTGGAAGTGACAAAAAGATTTTGGTTCATTATAAGTTTATAACAGCAAGCTACTCTATACAGTATAAGGCTAGTTGCCATTATGACGTATAAGTGTTTGCCTGTGCGGATATGATGATATATAGAACAAAGACGCAAACGATTATAAATAATATAAATTTCTCCTTCATTGCTTTTATCATTTTTCTTCCAATCCCGATAGATCCACAATTGTAGATCTGTAGTATGACAAAGAGACCAAGAAGGCCTCTTTTACAACCCTGTACTTCATTTCACCACCATAGTGCTTCAGCATTGTGACCAGCTCTAGCTTCGATGTAGTAAAACAAAAATATTATTATGACGCAAACTCTGGGAAACATATTGAGCACGATATCCTTAAACACCCAAGTGATAGAAAGATGTTGGCTAGATCCTTATAGATAAAGATGTGAAAGACAGTAGGGCCAGGGGATCTAAAGTTTAGGAATACATAACAACACAAAATACATCCTCGACGCAAGGAATGAGAACAATAACATCCAATCCAATTAAACTTAAAACAATTCCAATTCCAATTCCAATTCCAACACTCACCAATCTCAACCTTGTATATAATATTTGACAAGAAACTACCATAGTAAAATAGAACCAAATGAGTAAGTTCAAGTAGAAGACTTACCCACGGTATCCTTGAGGGTTTGTCCCTCCATACGGCAAGTAATCCCAGAGACGCAAAAAATCCCAATCCCCCACACAGCCAAGCCAATGCTTCATACTGATTTCAAAATCAAAAATTAAGAACTATTGACGTGTCCATTCATATTATCCCCAAACTAAAATTTCCATAGGGAAAAAAAAAAAAAAAAAGTAGTTACCTTTCCGACAGTATCAGCAATACGATCTATACAGGGTTCGGGAAATGGAGTGCCGTTGTCCCACATAAGTTCGTCATTCACGGGAAGCTGAAATCCCCAAATTCGAAAATTTATATTAATTTAAGAAAAAATCAAAAAGCAAATATGATAGGTTAAGAGAAACGTACGGGCTTGTCTGGGATAATATGTTTGCCAACGGGGAGGCCCATGCCGGAGCGGAGGCGAAGAGAGGAACCAACAGATCGCAAAACGACGCCATTTCCGCCCAAAATCCTCGATGCTGCGTTCGTCAATTTCCCTGCCATGATTGCTGATTTCTTTCTCTTGAGATGTCTCTTCTTCCTTCCAGAACTTAATGTTACTTAAGTTTACTTCCACTTACATACGATACGACTTCGTTTTGTCCATTTTTTTACATATTTTTTTCCTTTCGTATTTATCAATTGGGTTGGATCTTCCTTTTCGTATCGTAGCCCAAGCCTGCATCCACAGTCACGTGGCAAGATGTTTTTTCGTTTTATACAAAATCACTTACGAAAAATATGGATAGCTGATTATTTACGTGATACCATTCCCTGTAACTTGAAATTTAAATATGTAACTGTTAAACAACCTTTTTTTTGGAAATATGATATACACTTAGAATATTGTTGAATCGAAAACACTAGTGTTTAATGTAATCTTTCAATACCCTTGCCAAGGAGGTCATTTATTGTGGGCCTCGACTTCATAGTCCTTGACTAAAAGTGGAAAGAAAAAAGGAGTGAGATGGAATTTGAATAAAAGAGAGGGATTTAAAAGTAATTTTATTTACTCTTTTTTGAAAAAGGTGCACCCAAAGAATTGTGGGCCGGATCTATATTAAAAAAATCTCTTGTCAAGGTCCATTTGATATTTAATATTTATTAATTTTATTAAGAGTGACCTTTAATGTTTCAAGATATTTTTATTGCTTGTTATTACTATTATTTTTAGGTAAAAGTGTTTGTTATTTTAAATGACATAAAGTTATGTCATTTTAAGAGAGAGATAGACACAAAAAATATTTTTTATTTAAAATTTAAATTAAAAAAAAACCACTCACTTTCTCTCCCATGATTTCAATTTCTTGTGTCTATCTCTCTCTTGAAATGACATAACTTATGTTATTTAAAATGACAAACACCAAACCTTTTTTTTAGGGTGATGAAATGTTTAAGATAAAAAGAAGCTTCTTCTTTTTTTTTTGTATATGAAGCTTTCTTTTTTCGAACCAAAGGTTGCTATAACTTTCTAACAAAGCTCAGCACACTTGATAGATATATGGGTTCTTTTACTATACTGATAGGAGTTCGATCTCTAGTCGTATATATGGAAAAGACTTTGTTGTGAGAGGTTTATCCCCTAAAGAATTAGTCTTACATGGTATCAGACCCTCACCGTTAGGGGTGTTAACGGGCCAAGCCGAGGTTTGGTCTTAAAAGGCTAAGCTTGTGTTTAAATGTGTCGGTCTTACCAAGCCTGTTACCTGTTACGAATATAATTATCGGCTTGTGGCCTGCCTTATTTACAAAAAATAAAAGCCTGATTTAGCCTGTTAGCCTGTTAGAAAAAAATAAGACAACAAAAATTTATCCAAACAGAATATACAATCAACAACACTAGTAATTCCATAAATATTCATAAATTCAATATATATCCAAACAACATAATATAGAACAAAATCATTCAAAAAGTCTGTTTAACTAATAAAATAGGGGTGAAATGGATTGAGATGAGAGAGAGGACTATTACAAATAGTATAAAAAATATAAATAAAAATAAAAATTAATTTACTAGGCCAGCCTGAGAGGCTCCAAGGCCGAGCTTTTGAATTGGAGCCTGTGGCCTTTTTACCAAACGAGCTTTTATACAAGTCCAAGCCTGATTCTAACAACCAATATTAGACATGTAAGTTCAGGCCTTCACGAGCCGAGCCAAAAGCCCCTGAAAAGTCCCTGGCTCGTTTATCACCCCTACTCGTTGTCCCCCACTTTCTCTTGTGGCGTTTCTTAGCACAGGTAGGCTGGACCTGTTACATTGTCCACTCTTCAAGCTCAATGGGCTCTCTTGTGAGGGGGCGTATTGAGATATATAGTCCCACATTGGTTGTATGTGCAACTAATGTGAAGTTTATAATGTCTTTGGCACTTCCACCCTTTGAGCTAACTTTTGGGGTAGTGTATCCCAAGGTTCTACTATCGATCGGAGGATAGGAAACAAAAAAAAATGCTACAACTTAATTAATTATCATTTATATAATTTAATTTTTTTTCCTAGTTCTTAGATATTAAAGATTTAACTGACTTACACAAATTAATAGACCTATGTTAGGCCTTTAGTTTTTTAAATATAGATTTTGTCTACAATTTAATCTACACTAGATTAATAAGTCAGCTAAGACTCGAAATATTTTATATAAATATGATCTATTTATATCAAAATTTAATTTGACTCAACCGACTATACCTTTATTTCTCGATGCAATTTATTTATCAGTTCATTTTTTCTGCAGTTAATGTAGATAAGTTATCTATATTAAGCTTAAAACGACGTCGTTTTGGTGCGGAAATCAAGGTATTTTTGTAATTATAATTTATTTCAGAATTATAATAATCTTTCTCATTATAATTTTTTAATCTTTGAACCCAAAATGACGTCGTTTTGAGAGTGAATGTGGATATGTTATCTACATTAACTGTAGAAATATTAAAGCCTTTATTTATATACTATTTTTCCTTGCAAAAACTGAAATCATAATATTGTTGTCTTGTTTACAATTTTTTTTCTTTTATTTTTTTAAAAAAATTAACACAATGATTATTTTGTATTTAATATTAATTTAAAATGAATTCTATATTCTAAAGACAATGTTATTACTATCTCCATTTCAAAATATTGATCGTTCAAAAGTATTTATATAAGAATTAACAAAGTTACTAAAATCTCTCCGTTTTAGAAAAATATTTAAAATTTGATCAAATTGATTTTTCATTATATTAAGGATAAAATTGAAAAAAATATATTAAAATTGTCTTAATTTTTTAAAAAGATAAACAAAATGAAATAAAACTTCTATTAATACATTGCAATTGATTGAAATATGTTTTCAGTATTGTATTTATGATCAATTTTTTAAATAAATTTGCACCTAATATAGTTTAAAAAAAAACTATTATACAAATTTAATATATAGATTTGAGTGTAGTGTTGCATTAAACTTTTTTTTGTTCTTTTGACGTAATCCTTAATATATAGATGGGTCCCCTTGACGTAATCCTCTAGTCGGCTTGAACTCTTTAGTTGTAGCTCCATTCTATAGAACATTCATAGAGCAAGTAGAGACGCAACACATTATCAGTGAAATTATATTCTCAGGTAGTTCAATTTCCCTCAATGTCTCCTCAAGGAACTCCCAATTAATTCAGTCGTAGGCCTTCTCCAGATCAAGCTTAATAGACATCCATCCTTTTTTCCCTTTCCTATTTCTCATAGAGTGAATAATCTCCCGAGTAATAATAATATTATCTGAACTATGCCTCCCTTTAATAAAGATACACTGATTAGGCATCACAAGACTGACCATGTGCTCCTTTATCCTGTCAGCTATAATCTTCGTGATAATCTTGTAAACTACATTACAGAGACTTATCGGCCTAAACTATTTTAATGTCTCTGGATTATCAACCTTTGGAATAAGGCAAATCAAGGATTGGTTGATATCACTTATTGATGCTGGATTTTGGAAAACCTCATTTACTAACTTCACCACCGAGTCCCCTACTAAGTGCCATTGAGATTGAAAGAACGCTGCATGCAGACCATCCACCCCAGGGGCTTTAAATGGACCCATATATTCAACCAGTGCCTTTATCTCATCCCTTCTAGGCCTTTCTGCCATCTTATTCAACATTGACTAATTAATTCTTGGAACTGATCTGGATAACCTATAGGCCCAATAATTAAAGGCCTATGAGGGATCTCAAGGTTGTGGGTGCAATGTTCACATTGCATGGACCAGACTCATTGTGCAGATAATCATACTAAGCTACTAGGCAAAACTTAAGGATTAAAAAAGACATAGAGATCCCATAAGATCCACCGTGCATGAGAACCAGTATAGATGAGGCGGCTCCAGCTTACATTTAGACTACATAAACAGACTATATCAAGGAATAGCTTGCAGGGTAATACTGTGACAAAATGGTAGCTACCATGAATTACCAATAAAAAGAGGTACCGTCTAAGGACGGCACAACGCACACTATAAGTACAGAAGGATTAATCACTCGTACATCGATCTCTCAATTCAAAATATATACACCTCGAATGTCTGAATTAAGTGTCGGAGTGTTTTTGTAGATACCAATCACTTCCGTTGCGCTAGAATCACAACACTGCCAATCCAAGAAGAAGTCCATTCCACCGTAGATTCGAGCTAACTTGCTACATTTCTAAAGCTGTTTTCAATCTTTAACCTTGTGTGATTTGACCCATCTTATGTTGGACCGGTCACATCACAACCTCACCAAAACCGTTCCCCTTCCCACAGTATTGGCCCCAACATTATTCCCCTGTTCTTAGTCTCAGAAAAGAGCAAGGACCGCACATACTATTATAAAACCTTCAACAGCAGCCCCATTTTCGTCTGCAACAAATCAAGCTCAACACAATGCACAAGAGTGCTTCAGGTTCGACTTTGGGCCCCGGGGGCTTGGACCTAACCCAGGCCTTCTTCAAGCCCATCATCAACGCCGCCCCTCCCTCTCCCACCAAGCGCCACAACAAGATCTCCGTCATCGGCACCGGCAACGTCGGAATGGCCATTGCCCAGACCATCCTCACCCAGGACCTCGCCGACGAGCTCGTCCTCGTCGACAACAAACCCGACAAGCTCCGCGGCGAGATGCTCGACCTCCAGCACGCCGCCGCCTTCCTCCCCCGCACCAAGATCGTCGCCTCCGTCGACTACTCCGTCACCGCAGGCTCCGATCTCTGCATCGTCACCGCAGGGGCACGGCAGATCGCCGACGAGTCCAGGCTGAACCTGCTTCAGAGGAATGTTTCCCTGTTCAAGAGCATCATACCCCTTCTTGCTCGTAACTCTCCTGACTCTGTTCTTCTCATCGTTTCAAATCCCGTGGACGTGCTCACCTACGTAGCTTGGAAGCTCTCCGGGTTTCCCTCTAACCGGGTCATCGGGTCGGGCACTAACTTGGACTCCTCTCGCTTCCGTTTCCTTATCGCTGATCATCTCGACGTCAACGCTCAGGACGTCCAGGTCAACCTCATTTTCCTTCTTTCTTATTTTTTTTTTTATTTTTTTTTTGGATATTTATTTTTAAGAAATAAATAAATAATTAAAGGAATGTTTTTAACAATTTAGGACAATAGTGTCACAAGATCTGATTATCTGGAAGTTGGATGTTTTGGTTTTGGCTTCTTTAATTTAATTTAATTTTTGTTTAAGTGACAAATTTTTTTTTTTTTTTTTTTAATCTGAGATATAATATGAATATTATGTATAATGTTAGAATGTTATTGCAGGCTTATATAGTAGGGGAACATGGGGATAGCTCGGTGGCACTGTGGTCTAGTATAAGCATTGGGGGTGTTCCGGTGCTGAGCTTTTTGGAGAATCAACAGATTGCGTATGAGAAAGAAACGCTGGAGAATATACACAAGCAAGTGGTAAACGGTGCTTATGAAGTAATTAGTCTGAAAGGGTACACTTCTTGGGCCATTGGATACTCGGTGGCTAGCTTGGCCCGATCCATTATCAGGGACCAAAGGAAGATCCACCCTGTGTCTGTTCTTGCAAAGGGCTTTTATGGCATTGGTGATGGTGAAGTGTTCCTGAGCTTGCCGGCACAGCTTGGTAGAGGAGGGGTGCTGGGTGTAACCAATGTGCACTTGAACCAAGAGGAGGCGCAAAGGCTCAGGGACTCGGCCATGACCATCCTGGAGGTGCAGGCTCAGTTGGGTATTTGAATTTTCTATGATGAAGTCACTTCGATGATGCACCTTTTGCATTAACTGGTTAATTTTCTTACGGTTTTTTGTTTCCATCGTTATATGGTTCGGTCTAAATTATTACTTGTTAGTTGTTACTATTAATCCTTGCAGTGCATCTGTTTTGTTGCTTCTGAAATGCTGGTCTAATCCGGTAATATATTACGGGAAAAACTACTCTTATGCAATATAAGAGTAGTTTTATCTCCTATGCACCCATCAAAAGCTGTGACACTTTTTTTTTTAGATGGCAGACTCCATCATATGTATCTCTACGACGTGAGAGAAGATCTCTCATGTAACATAAGATTAAATGAACTCATACACTATATAGTATTTAACCAGTCAAGAAAATTTTCTTTTTTCTATAATTGTGGCCTTTGTGCCTATTATTAGCGTACCACATTCCAGTGAAATTGTATTTATGTTAGTGTATTAAAAAACTTAAAAACTAATTATTTCCTACCTTTACTTTTGTTATATATATATATATATATATATATATAAGAAAATAATAGTCTCCTACAATATAAGACTACTAATTTTTTAAAGTTATGCTGTCATTTTTTATTTTTTTTTAGTGGTGAGCCCGCCACTTTGTGTTTTAGTCTCTCCTACAATAATTTTGAGATTTGACAAGCTCATATAGTCATATAATAATTTTGAAATTTAAATCTATAACCTTATACAAATTATTTAAATCCTCAGTCAATAACCCTATGAATATATAGGTTTGCCACGATGAATCATGGACTTAAGAACTAAATGGCTGAGTTTGGTTTTGAGTTTCAAATACCGGGGAAGTGGGATGAAAAAAATTTAATGACCATGTTTGATATGAGTATTACGAAAAAAAATCTCAGTAAATAATTTCTCATGTATTTCTCTTTTTAATTACATAAATGATGAGACTCAGTTTTGTTATCTACGTCGTGTCACCATTGAAGCTGCGTGTCTTACAGTTAGTTACATTGTCCACGTGTCATGTAGTTAGTTAGAGTTCTTTTGTTTCTTACTCGTTTATTAGTTGATGTATATATACTGATATGGACCTTTGAGTTCTGTATTCTCATTGATTTAGTTTCTTAAACATTCAAAGTATGAAGTTCTCTTCTATACTTGCTTTCTTCTTTCTCTATTGTTTGATGGTATCAGAGCTCTTCGCAGAGCTCTGATATGCGCCTTCAATTCGATTCTTTTTCTTTTACTCCGCATGCATATCGATTTGACTTTGCTGCTGTTAGATCTATTTGATTTCTTGTGTTTTTCTTTTCTTCACATGCAAATCGAATCGATTCTGTTGCTGATAGATCTGTTCGTTTTTCTCTTTCTGTAAGCAAGAAGGTGATTCAGAGTTCTGCACTTGCAATGGAGAAAGAAGCAGAAAGCACTCCTTCACATAGGGAAGGTAATCCTATGAAAACTAGTCTTCTTGATCTGTTAGATCCAGGTAGTCCCTATTTCCTTCATCCAAGTGAAAATCCTTCACTTGTTCTTGTATCAAATCTGATGAACGGGAAGAACTACCATGGATGGGCGAGGGCTATGACCATGGCACTAATTTCAAAGAATAAGGTATCATTTGTCAATGGTACAATTTTGACACCAGACACAACAGATCCACGTTTTCCAGTTTGGGAGAGATGCAATACTATGGTCCTTTCGTGGCTGCATCGTTCAATTACAAGTTCTATATCTCAATCCATTTTGTGGATGGATAAGGCATATGATGTATGGAGAGATCTCAAGGAGAGATTTTCTCAATCTGATATTTTCAGAATATCAGATTTACAGGATGACATTTATCGTTTACATCAAGGAGATAGCTCAATCTCTGATTATTTTACTAGACTCAAGATTCTTTGGGATGAATTGGAAGCACTCCAACCCACTCCTACTTGTAAATGTGTTCGTCCATGCTGTTCAATTGCAGTGGAGGTTAAGAACAGTAAGGAAAGAGACTATTCAATTCGTTTTCTCAAGGGACTCAATGATCAATTTTCTCATGTGAGGTCCCAAATTATGCTCATGGATCCTCTTCCTTCAGTTAACCGAGTTTTTTCCTTAGTTGCACAACAGGAACGACAGTTGCAGATTGAAAGTTCTGGTCCAATTCATCATGACAATTCAAGAATTTTCTTTAATTCTGCTGAACAAGTTCCAGAAAGAGGACGTGGACAGACTCGTGGAAGGGGAAGGGGATTCAATCCTGCACGTGGAAGAGGATCTAGACTCTGTACTTATTGTGGGAAGACTAGCCACACAGTGGAGACATGTTTCGAGAAGCATGGCTATCCTCCTGGGTTTAAGCAAAGGAACCCTATGCATAAGATCAATGCAGTTGTAAGTGAAGAGTTCAATCAGGTTGACAACTCAAGGGAAGCTGACACAAAAGAAAATTTCACTAAAAGTCAGTATCACACCATTATGGAGATGATACAACAAACAATGAAAGTGCAACATGCTTTGCCTCCATCCTCTCCTCATGTCAGCAATATGGTTCATACTAATGTACTAAATGTCGATAGTCAATCTTCTGAAGCAAGTAAGTCATCAAATCAGTGGGTCCTAGACACAGGAGCCACTGATCATATCACTTTTAACTCTGCCAATTTATCTTCTATCAAGTATATTGAGCCAATTGCCATATCCTTGCCCAATGGAACACGGGTCTACTCTAATATGTCTGGTACAGTAGATATTTCTAAAACACTTACGTTGACAGATGTTCTGTATGTAAGGGAATTTGGCGTCAACTTAATATCAGTGCATAAACTGATTTCTGAAACTGATTGTCATGTGACATTTCAGCTTCAAAATTGCCTCATTCAACATCAACAATCCATGGAGATGATTGGTTCTGCTAATCTGGTGAGAGGATTGTATGTGATGCACCAAGATGGACCAATCAATGCTGTGAAGAATGCTGACACAACAAAACAATTGAATTTTTCTGATAACAGTAGTTTCAATTTACAGTCACATGCCAATGATATATGGCATTTTCGTTTGGGCCATTGCTCCAAACCTGTAATAAAGACCATGATGTTACAGTACCCATTTATTACTTGTAAACATCTAGATACTCCATGTGATATCTGCCACATGGCTAAACAAAAGAAACTTCCTTTTGCTTTAAGCTCCACTGTTTCCAAAAATGCTTTTGATCTCATACATATTGATATTTGGGGGCCTTATTCTGTACCCTCTATTCATGGTCATCGATTTCTTCTAACTATTGTTGATGATTGCACAAGATATACATGGGGTATTCTTATGAAGTCAAAGTCTGAAGTCAGAAATCATATTTCATCTTTTGTTGCTCTAATTGAAAATCAATTTCATAAAACCATTAAAGTCTTTCGAAGTGATAATGGGCATGAATTTCTAATGACAGAATTTTTTAGACAAAAGGGCATTGTTCATCAAACTTCTTGCATAGAGACACCTCAACAAAATGGAATTGTTGAGAGAAAACATCAACACTTGCTCAACACTGCCAGAGCTCTTCTCTTCCAAGGAAAACTCCCTATCAGCTTATGGAGTTATTGTATTATTCATGCCATACACTTGATCAATCGAGTTAGTACACCAAAACTGAACAATAAGTCACCATATGAGCTATTGCATAATACTCCACCAGTCATCATACATCTTAAGGCTTTTGGTTGTCTTGCTTTTGCATCCACAATTATGGCAGGACGTTTGAAATTTGATCCCAGGGCAAGAAAATGTGTTTATATTGGTCACAAGGATGGAACCAAAGGATATGTTTTGTATGATATATCCTCTAAACAGATTTTTGTTTCTCGAAATGTAATTTTCTATGAGGATCACTTTCCTTTCATGGATACATCACCATCAGATAATGTTGATCCATGGCCCACTGATCAATGTGCATCTTCTTTTTATGATATTCCCACTGTACAGTCTCCACCTGTTACACAGGGGCTAGACACATCCGAAACTACAACTTTCATTGAAAGCTCAAATGATGAGACTCAGTTTGTTTCTTCACAGACTGAGAATACTGCCAATATTTCTGTACCAGATAATTCACATATCAGACGCTCCACACGGGTAAGATGTCCACCCAAGTACTTATCTAATTTTCATTGCAATTATTCTTCTGCTGATGTGCTACCTAGTCTATCATCTACTAATCATCCATTATCATCTGTTGTCTCATATGCAAAATGCTCAATGGAGTATTCCTCATTCTGTCACAACATTAGCTCTTTTATTGAGCCAACAACTTACAAGCAGGCAACTCAATTTCCTGAATGGATAACTTCCATGAATGAAGAGCTAGAAGCACTCAATCGCAACAAGACCTGGGATATTGTTGATTTGCCCAAAGGGAAACGTCCTATTGGTTCCAAATGGGTTTATAAAATAAAACACAACCAAGATGGAACCATTGCCCGCTATAAGGCTCGTCTAGTGGCAAAGGGATACAACCAAATGGAAGGAGTGGATTACTTTGAGACTTTTTCACCCGTTGCAAAGCTTACTACAATTCGATTACTGCTTTCAGTAGCTGTGGCTCGTCAGTGGCACTTGGAGCAGCTAGACATAAACAATGCATTCTTACATGGGGATCTATCCGAGGAAGTCTACATGTCCATTCCACAAGGTGTTGCAGTTGATGGCAAACAGAAAGTATGCAGATTAAGAAAGTCCTTATATGGGCTTAAGCAAGCAAGTAGGCAGTGGAATGCTCGCTTAACAATGGAACTTTGCTCTCTTGGGTACTCACAATCTTCCTCTGACCACTCTCTTTTCACCAAAGCCAATGGGAAATCATTTACTGCTCTTCTGGTTTATGTGGACGATATGGTTCTGGGAGGAAATGATTTTGATGAAATAAGTATGGTTAAAAGTCATTTACATCTTTTGTTTCAGATCAAAGATCTTGGGCCATTAAAATTTTTCCTTGGCCTTGAAATAGCCCGTTCCAGTAAAGGTCTAGTTCTCAATCAACGAAAGTATATTCTAGAACTATTGCAAGACAGTGGATTACTTGGCACAAAACCAGTCTCCACTCCCATGCAACCTGGTCTTCGCCTCAGCCAAAATCAAGGATCAGTCTTTTCTGAACCAGCAAAGTATCGAAGACTAGTAGGGAGACTTCTTTATCTCACTAATACAAGGCCTGATATTGCCTTTGCTGTTCAACAATTAAGCCAATTTGTGGCAAACCCCATGCAAACACACTTTGATGCAGCTTGTAGAGTTCTTAGATACTTGAAGGGTTCCCCAGGTAAAGGATTGTTCTTTTCCTCTGTTAATCAGCTAGTTGTTTCTGCATTCTCTGATGCAGATTAGGCAACATGCCCTGATACTAGACGATCCATCACAGGTTTTTGCATTTTTCTTGGTCCTTCTCTTGTGTCTTGGAAGTCCAAGAAACAGACAACTGTGAGTCGTTCATCTGCTGAGTCAGAATATCGAGCCCTTGCTGCTGCTACATGTGAAATCCAATGGCTCACGTATTTACTTCATGACTTGCAAGTTCCAATTACACAACCTGCCATGGTATATTGTGACAACCAAGCAGCCATCCACTTAGCACACAATCCCTCATTCCATGAGCGCAGCAAGCATATTGAATTGGATTGTCATGTTACAAGGGAGAAGATTGCTGCTGGCTTGATACATCTTCTACCTGTCTCGACCACACAGCAGCTGGCTGATGTATTTACGAAGGCTTTACACCCTGCATCTTTCCATGACTTTCTGGTCAAGTTGGGGTTTCATGATATTCACCTTCCAACTTGAGGGGGGGTGATGAGACTCAGTTTTGTTATCTACGTCGTGTCACCATTGAAGCTACGTGTCTTACAGTTAGTTACATTGTCCACGTGTCATGTAGTTAGTTAGAGTTCTTTTGTTTCTTACTCGTTTATTAGTTGATGTATATATACTGATATGGACCTTTGAGTTCTGTATTCTCATTGATTTAGTTTCTTAAACATTCAAAGTATGAAGTTCTCTTCTATACTTGCTTTCTTCTTTCTCTATTGTTTGAATAAAGGCAAATAATTATCCCACTAATCCTTTGGTATTTTTTTTTGCTTAGGGTCTTAGATTTTGAATATAATATGTTGAGTCAAATAATTATTCCATTAATATTTTATCATCAACCAAATATAGCATCAGTAAAATGAACCCAACTCTTCCGACAAAATTTTGGCCAACCAAATATTTTTTCATAACTTACCCGAGATAAAAAAATTCTTACCAAATTCTCAACTATCTTTTTTTCCAAGTTAAAAAAAATATCTCTCATATCAAACGCCCCCTTTAAGAGGTATTTGGTATGAAATGATGGGGAAATGGGATGGGAAATATTTTAATTACCATGTTTGGTACGAGTATTGTGAAAAAAATCTTAAAAAATATTTTTCCTGATACTTTCCTTTTCAATTACACAAAAGCAAATAATTATCCTAATAATCTTTTGGTATTTTTTTCCCCTGTAGTTTTGGATTCTGAACATAATATCTTCGGTCAAAAACACCCTTATGATTTATGACCTCATGTGTTGTAAAGAGACACTTTTTCATCAATAAATTTAGTGTAGAAATATGAACGTTTGCTCCATAGATACAGAGCCTAGAAATATGAACATTTGAATATGAATCATTTTTCATATTCAAAAAATTAAAGGATATTTTAATACACATTTCCATCAATATTTTATCATTAATCAAACGTAACATCTGTAAAATGAACCTAATTTTTTCGACAAAATTTTAGCTAACCAAATATTTTTTCGTAACTTACCCGAACTATTTTTTTACCTAATCCCCCACCATTTGTTTTTTTTTCGTGAGTAAAAAAATATATCTCTAGTACCAATCACCCTTTAAACTTATCCCTCTTCAAAATAGAAAAAGAAAAAAGGGGGTGTTACTTCAATTAGTTGAACGACAAGCAGTTTGAACAGAAATCCATGAACGACAACAACAAAATGGGGAAGGAATTGAGCAATTACAAAACTCACCGTCGTTGAGGTTCAACGCAGGTGCGTTGAAGCAGCGATTGATTCCGAGTTGAGTTTCGGGCAAAACTCGCCGCCGTCACCACCAATCACAATGGAAGCTCTGGCGGAGCTGGAGCGTGTCCAAATCCAGCTGCTAGAACGCATATCAAGACTAGAGCGTTCTTATCTTCCCTCGCCTTCAACAACCGAGTCACCTCTCGTTGAAGAAACTGACACTGTTTCTCGCCTCTCCTCCATTTTGCGCACCAACGCCGTCGACGACTTCTCCTTCAAGAGAGTCCCTTCCGATTACTATGATTGGCCCCTCGAAGCCCGTCGCGATGCCCTCGCCGCCGCCTCCGTCGACCATCTTTGCAAAAGCATTGTTTTGGTTAACACGCAATCCCCGCCCAATATCATCGATTGTAGTGATCGTAAAAATTCGAAGTACTATGTTGTTGTTGTTCAGGTTGGGTTTGCTTTTGTTTTATTTTCGCTCACTCTGTCTCGTGGTGACGTGGCTTGCAAAACTAATTGCTTTGTTTTTTTTTTGTTTTTTGCAGTACACTGCTCGGTTCAATGCTGAGGCTGTCAGAAATTTTCTGTATTCACTCAACAATGGAAGTATAGCGAAAAAGAAATTTAACTGTAAGCTATTTTTGTTTTACACATGGATAAATGTAGAGTTTGTGCATTTTTACAGCTCCCAATCGGTTGGTTATCTTATTTATTCATGTGTATTTAAATCCTGAGTTTTTTTTAGGATAGGGTAATCGTGTTGAATGAAATCCTGTTGAACATTGTGGTATTGGAAGGACCAAGAATTTTGTTTGTTAGTGGAGGTATGGTGTTGACTAAGCTGAATATAGTGGAAACACTGTCCAGTTGGTATATTTAAGAAACTGGCCTCTGTGTGTGTGCCTTAGTTGTTGTAAATGCAATTCAAATGAAGGAGAGTTCAGTAAGAGTTGGTTAAGGAGGTTTCTCTGCTAAATATGAGTCTTCTCTATTTACTATGAAGCCATGAGCTTCTTTGTGCATAATAGAGAAATATTAGACAAGAGTTGGGTTGGGGGGGGGGGGGGATAGGCCAACACTTGGTAAGGCTCCCCTGCTGCCTTGTTTGCAAAAGCTTGCAGCACAGATTTCGCCATCTTATTAAAATAAAACCTAACATCTATCCTTGTTTCTTAGGGCCTCTTTGGTGTGATTAGGGGTGTCAAAACGGGTTGACACAAGACGCATTTGACACGACACGAATACATCAACACGAACACGACATAAATTTTTATTCGTGTTAAAATCTTCAACACTAACACGGCACGAATTTTTTGCGGGTTGACACGATACGACACAAATAACACTCAAAAATAGGGGTCAAAATGATAATTGACAAAAAAATTTAAAAAAAGGGTCAAAATTAAAAAAATTTAAAAAAATAATAATTAAAAAAAATATTGGTCAACACTAACACGAATACATCAACACGAACATGACACGAATTTTCTACGTGTCATTTTTCCAAACACGAACACGACACGATTTTTTTTGCGAGTCAACCCGAACACGAATTTTCGTGTCGTGTCGCGGGTCGACCCGCGTGTCATAACCTATATTGACACCCTTAGGTGTGATGCATAAGGCTTGATAGTATAAGTTTATACTATACGTTATGACATTTTCAGTTATTTGGTGTGACCATCGTATAGTATAAGCTTATACAGCAGAACCCCTTAATATATTAAAATGATGTATAACTTAATCAGGCCTAAGGGGGTGGGATTAGGCCTGATAAGGAGTTGATGTATTAATATTGCTTACAAGTACAATTCTCAAGAACTAATATATCATTTCAATATTAATATATTAAAATAATTTTTTTTAATATATTAATTTTTAAAATATTAGAAGATATTATCTTATACAATAGCATACCAAATGCTGGATAATATTAAATTTTAATCAGGTCTTATCCAATACTATGCACCAAATATGCCCATAGTGACTCCCCCATGGCAATAGGTTGTTTTTACAGGAAATGAAATTTAAAAAGTTTTTTTTTTAGGTGCTGGGTGGTCTCAATGAGTAGTAAGGTAAGGACTGTGTTACAGCAACTCTTAGGTACATGTGATGGGTTGTTAGCGTGATTAGAAGATGGCTAAGGTTAGGTGAAGCAATTTAAGTCCCTTATCTTGGGTTGAGGATATTTCATTGGCTTTGCTTAGTAGTTGCAGTTGTCCATGGGTCTGATGGTGCACAATGGCTATTAACTTTAAAACCCTCAATACATGAAAGTTTCAATTTTTGGTCGTCAACTGTAAAATACTTACTAGCTAGAGATGAAAAAGTGAATATTGAAACTCATTGAATTGGTTTTTAATGCAATGCATCATCTCAATTCTCTACCTTGGACTTCTGCAAACTGCAGGGGAACTGAGTCCAGAAACCCTTGACCATGTAATGGCCTTTTCATGAAAATGCTAAGTGGTATATATATTGTTGCAATCCCTAGTTTTCAGCATCTAGAATGTTTTATTTTTCCTCCTTAATCTTAGGAGTTTGTTTCGTTATTTGTTATTTAAATTCCTAGGATTAGTTTGTTTCTGATATTTTTCCTGTTTAGTTAAAATAGGATTCAGTTTTCTAGTTTTATCTCTTTCCCTGATTATAGGGATTTGTTGCACTGGAATATTTCTGGTGTCTATTTATTGTACGTTTTTTTCTTTTAGTTTTAATGGAAAAACTGGTTCCATCATTCAAACTTTCTATATGGTATCAGAGCTTGATTTTTAAGGGACTGATCCACCCATGGCTACCAATGTGCCACTCTTTGGCACCATGAGAGCCTACCAAACTACTTCTTCCAATACCACCGGTACAAATACCACTCCAACAACAACCCCACTCAATGTTTCAGCATCAAACCAAACCAACAACAACTCAGCAGCTGTCATTACCAACGATAGTCCAGCATTAGTCATCACTGGTCATCGATTCAATGGAGACAATTATTTGTTGTGGTCACGCAGCGTTCGTATGTTCATTGGAGGCCGTGGCAAGGGAGATCATCTCACCGGTACGGGTGATGCTGCTCCTCTGGAAACCAGTCATCCACAATACAAGAAGTGGTCCATTGAAAATAACCTTGTGATGTCTTGGTTGTTGAATTCCATGGTGCCTGAAATAGCTGAAACATACATGTTGTGCTCCACAGCCAAGGAAATTTGGGATGGCGTGAAGGAAGCCTTCTCTAAGGAAGATAACACAGCTGCCTTGTTTCACATCAAGGGGATTCTTCGTGATCTCAAACAGGAGGACAAGGATGTCACCAGCTATTATAATTCACTCCTAAAATTCTGGCAACAATTGGATCTTTATGATCAACATGAATGGACTACTCCAGCCGATACTCTTCAGTATAAGAAAATTGTTGAACAAGACCGCACCTACAACCTTCTTTTGGGACTCAATCCAATCTATGATGGAGCTCGCAGCCGCATCATGGCCACTCGCCCTCTGCCATCCTTGCGAGAAGTTTTTTCTGAATTAAAGTGGGAAGAAAGCCGCAAAGTTTTGACCAATAGCATCCCAAAAGTTGATGCACCTTTGGAAGCAGCAGCCTTTGTCTCTAGACCCAACAATGCAGACTCCAGACCTAGGCGAAATGGTAAGCTCTGGTGTGACCATTGCAACAGAACTGGGCATATTCGGGATACATGCTGGAAAATCCATGGCAAGCCAGCTGATTGGAAGCCAAGACAAAACAGAGACTTTAATCATGTTGCTGCAGTTGTAGAAGATGTTCCGCAAGCAAAATCCGAAGGCCATACATTTACAAGGGAACAAGTGATAGCCATACAACGCATGCTGCAAGATTGCAATAAGGACAAATCTAATCCCTCATCTGATAGTCATCAATCAGGTACATTCCATACAGCTCTCCAATCCGATCTTGATAAATGTGATTCCTGGATGGTAGATTCTGGGGCTACAGATCATATGACTGGTAATTCCTCTCTTCTTTCTGAATACTTTCCCATTTTCGAGGCAAAATCAGTAAAAACAGCAAATGGAGGCTTAGCCAAGGTTCACGGAATTGGTGTTGTTCACCTATCGTCAACCATATCTTTAACTGGAGTTCTCTACGTTCCATCTCTTACCTGCAATTTAATTTCTATTACCAAATTGACCAAGGATTTAAAGTGCACAGTCAAATTTACCCACGTTGATTGTATTTTTCAGGATTTGGCATCGGGGAGGACGATTGGCAGTGCTAGGGTCTCTAATGGTTTATATCAACTTTACACAGCCGCGGTTATGAAGACTCAAGACAGCACATTTGCAGCAACTAGCAATTTGAATAAGGCTCTTTTATGGCATTTTAGATTAGGGCATCCAAACTTTCAATATATGAAAAAGATGTACCCTTCTTTATTTAATGAGAATTCGAATTTTCCTTCATGTGATATATGTCAACTTGCAAAACAAACTCGGTCTCGTTATCCCTTACAAATGCATGTTCCTTCTAAACCATTTGCCATTATCCACAGTGATGTGTGGGGACCTGCAACTGTTAAAAGCCTTACGGGTGCTCGTTGGTTTGTCACATTTATTGATGATCATACTCGAATGACATGGGTGTACCTATTAGCCAATAAATCTGAAGTCACATCCACCTTTAAAGTCTTTCACAAAATGATCCTTGCCCAATTTCAAACCCAAATCCTTACCCTTAGATCTGACAATGCACGTGATTATTTTAACTTGGACCTTTCAGCTTACCTAAAAGACCATGGCATCATCCACCAGAGCTCTTGTGTCAATACCCCACAACAAAACGGTGTATCTGAGAGAAAAAATCGCCATTTACTTGAAGTTGCTCGTAGCCTACTCTTTGCCTCAAATACATCCAAAAATTATTGGGGGGAAGCTATTCTTACAGCCACTTACCTTATCAACCGCATGCCATCTCGGGTATTACACTTCTCCTCACCTTACCAAACACTCCTCACTGCATTCCCTTCATTGACCTTAACCCCAAATCTCCCACCAAAAATTTTTGGTTGCACCGTGTTCATTCATAACTCTCAAGGTGGTAAATTGGATCCTCGGGCTCTTAAGGGCATCTTTCTTGGCTATTCCCCTACTCAGAAGGGGTATAAATGCTTCAGTCCAACCACACATCGATTCTACATTACTAAAGATGTCACCTTTTTTGAACATCAGCCTTATTTTTCCCAAACCGCCATTCAGGGGGAGATCCCTAATTCCAAGGAATGGTTGTTTGTGACTAATACTCCAGAAAACTCTGCTTCAACAGCCCCTACACCGGTCTTAGGTGAATCTCAGGAAAATGACACTTCATCTAATGGCTTATCCTCTTCCAGCCCGCTCCAGAAACCGCCTGAACAGCAGCCCCTGCAAGTCTACACGCGACGGCCCAAATACAGAACAGCTTCTGAGATGCTTGAACATGTTGACAAACAGATTACCTTGGCTCCTGGTCCAACTGAAGAAACCATTAGTCCTGCACTTGACCAAACTGAATCCTTGCTGCCAAGTTCTGATGATGCTCTGCACATGCCAATTGCACTTCGTAAGGGGGTAAGGACATGTACAAGTCATTCCATCTGTAATTTTATATCCTATGCTAATCTTTCCTCCAGGATGCAGCATCTAGTCAAGAACATTGACAAGGAAACCATTCCTACATCCTACTTTGAGGCATCTAAGACTACTGAATGGTGTTCTGCTATCCAGGATGAATTGCATGCACTCAAAAAAAATGGCACTTGGGAGATAGTTACCTTACCACAAGGAAAATCAGTGGTTGGCTGTAAGTGGATTTTTACCATCAAATATAATGAAGATGGGAGTATTAATCGCCATAAAGCAAGACTTGTGGCCAAAGGATTCACTCAGACACAGGGCATTGATTACCAGGAAACCTTTGCTCCAGTAGCAAAATTTAATTCAATTAAAATTCTTTTGTCCATTGCTGCTTGCCTAGATTGGCCCCTTTGGCAAATGGATGTGAAGAATGCATTCTTAAATGGTGACTTAGAAGAAGAGGTTTACATGGAAATTCCCCAAGGAGTGGAAGATGGTCAAGGATCTCGAAAGGTATGTAGATTATTAAAATCCCTTTATGGTTTGAAGCAATCTCCAAGGGCTTGGTTTGATAAGTTTACTGCAGTTGTCAAAAATCAAGGGTACTCCCAATGTCAAACTGATCATACTATGTTTGTTAAAACTGCACCTCATCAGAAAATTACAATATTAATTGTCTATGTTGATGATATTGTGATTACTGGTAATTGGGAGGATGAGATAAAGCAATTAAAGGAGACGTTAGCTCACAAATTTGAGGTCAAGGACCTTGGAAAATTACGATATTTTCTTGGAATGGAAGTGGCAAGAACTAAGGAAGGAATTTTAGTTTCTCAAAGAAAATATACTCTTGATCTGCTGAATGAAACAGGGATGTTGGGATGTAAACCTTCTGATACACCAATGGAGGCGAACTACAAGATAGGACTCAAACAAGAATGTGCTTCGGTAGACACTGAGAGATATCAAAGACTAGTTGGAAAACTCATTTATTTAGCCCACACTAGGCCTGATATTAGTTTCCCTGTGAGTGTGGTCAGTCAATTTATGAACAGCCCAAATGAAGAGCACTTGGAAGCCGTCTACAGAATCCTACGATACTTAAAGATGACTCCTGGTAAAGGATTGTTCTTCAAGAAAAATTCCAGCCGTGATATTGTGATTTACACGGACGCTGATTGGGCAGGATCCATTATCGATCGAAGATCAACCACAGGCTATTGCTCATATGTGTGGGGAAATTTGGTCACTTGGAGGAGTAAAAAACAGTCTGTGGTAGCCAGAAGCAGTGCTGAAGCCGAATACAGGGCATTGTCCTTAGGCACTTGTGAGGGAATGTGGATTTTAAGAGTCCTAAAGGAGCTACACCTCGAATACAAGGATCCTATGAAGATTTTCTGTGATAACATGGCCACCATTGGAATTGTCAATAATCCAATCCATCATGACCGTACCAAGCATGTTGAACTTGATAGAAATTTCATCAAGGAAAAAATTGATGCAAATATTATTGATCTAAGTCACATTTCCACAGGGTCCCAGATTGCTGATTAACCAAGTCTTTATCAAGAATTAAATTTGAAGGACTAATTTCCAAGCTGGGAATGCTGGACATCTACCACCCAGCTTGAGGGGGAGTGTTGCAATCCCTAGTTTTCAGCATCTAGAATGTTTTATTTTTCCTCCTTAATCTTAGGAGTTTGTTTCGTTATTTGTTATTTAAATTCCTAGGATTAGTTTGTTTCTGATATTTTTCCTGTTTAGTTAAAATAGGATTCAGTTTTCTAGTTTTATCTCTTTCCCTGATTATAGGGATTTGTTGCACTGGAATATTTCTGGTGTCTATTTATTGTACGTTTTTTTCTTTTAGTTTTAATGGAAAAACTGGTTCCATCATTCAAACTTTCTATATATATGAAGAAACTTTATAAGATAAAATGAATGTTTGGGAGGTCCATACTTGCTGACACCCATCACTTTGCTGTACCACTTTTCTGAATTTAAATATTCACCATGTGAAAATGTTTTTTATATATTGTAATCCATGCGTCCATATGGGCATTCTGTCTCCCTTGTGATAATTTATCTTTTATTCCTTTCGTTATATATTTATGGACAATTCTCGTGTTTTCTATTTTCCCTTTACTTTTAAATATTTAAAATTTATATTAATTATATCTTTAACTTGTTAATTGTTATTGCTTAGAAGATAATAATGGTTGGTATTACTTACACAGTGAGGCTAGCTCCCGAGGAGACATCAACGGAGTTAACTGGATATGGGCACAATGCAGTGACTTGTATTGGCATGAAAACAGACATTCCGGTAAAGACTGAACGTCAGGATTAGTATAGGAATCTTAATTCTTATGATATATGTAGAAAACAAAATATTGCATCTTGACAAGAACTCTGAAATATTCACATTGTTTGAAGATAATTATTTTGAAAGGGACTGTAATTAATACTGAAATTAGGATAAAACTCAAGAAGGAAATATCCTTTTCAAGGGAAGAAATATTGGTCAGTAACACTGAAACTGAGCAGAAGAAATGGAAAAAAATGCAGCAAAAGAAATTACAATCAGAGCTTATTCGGAGACTCTGCCCCCTTGGTCTAAAGCCGTCAAACCACTCTCCAAAATTCTGTTATTCTTCCACTCTTTTCCCACTCCTTATTCACGTTTTCCTTACTCTCTCCTATCTTTGCATAATTTCTCTCTTCAAATCTGTGCTGCCACATGTACATTCTGTTACACTCTCCCTCCACCATTTCCTCCTTACACATCATTCTTCCCTCTCCTCTTTCACACGTCTGATCTCCCTTGGTCCAACCCTCTCCAGCCCACTTTCCTTTTCATTTTTTCTTATCTTATATACATGTATCAAATGCCCATCATATTTTTTTTTTTTATTGTATTGAACTTTTTTTGTCATGTGCATGGGCTTATAATTGATACAAACAAGGACCAGTTAGTAACAGAAGATAAAAGCTGAGATGCAAATTCTTTTTTCTACTTACTCAGTGTTTAGAGATTACAACTTATGACTTCCTTGTCATACTCGTGGTATTGATGTGATATTCTTGATTACATGTGCTGTTAACAAAGATTTTTCTGACATGTTTTTGGCATGATCTGTCTTGTTTGATTGATGCCTTGGATTAGCACATAAACCTTCTTTTTAAGTTGTCTACAATAGGATATGGCCACTTTTGCTGTGCTGTAGCATGTTGATAGTGGGTTCAGCATACTTTTGGAGTGTCCTCTCTGGGGGATGTTCTCATGGAGCATCTGTGTAAGATCTGAATCCTTCCAATCTTTCTTCCGGCACTGGTCCACAACTCTAATTAATATCTGTCTGTCTGCCTAAAATCCCATCCTGAAGTTACTGGAGAAGGTCTGTTGTTTTTTCGGACGTGGTCATTTTTATTCACTGTCTACATGATTGGTTTTCTGTTAGTCTCTTCCTTGTACAAGTATGTAAGGTAGCATTTTCCAGACGGGTTAAAACGGAATGGAACATAATATATGGATTTTGTTCTATGTTTGATGTATTGTAAAAACAGAACAGAACTGGACATAAGTTTGAAAAATTAATACATTTTGGTTCCACTAAAATGGTGGAACCAAAAGAACAGAACAAGATTGTTCCATTCCATTCTATCAATGCGCCAACTGTTAGTATTTGGGTGTCCTAGAGACAATCTTATGATTAAATAAGGACATAGATGTAGACCTTTGTATTGTCGCAAATAAATAAAAGCATTCTTTATCCTGTTTCATATTTTGTCTCGATATTACTGTTAACTGGATGAACCCCTTGGAATAAAATAGGTATCTCTTGAGTATCTGTGATGAGATCACGATCATGAGGATTCAAGGATATTGGATGTTTATTCCTAATTTTATGTTCCTAGTCTAGAGACACTGAGAATGGGGATCAACGATCTCGGGTAAGACTAGCACGACTTATCTACTTGTATTCGGATGCAAGGTAAAAACCTCATGAGCTGCTACAGATATGGAGATGTCTTAGCTAAAGTCGTGGGTGGATCTATAACGGTATAGCTCGCACTGAACAGACCCACAAAAGAGACTCTATGAGGAAATCTCACAGAGTATCATTAGAGTAGTCTCTTTATATTTGGGTATGTCTTTCCTTAGACCAGAAGTTATTACCTAGACTGTGTTCTAGAAGGCATGCTTTGACTGTATACCTCGTCTGCCTGAAACATGGAGACTCATAGGTATACTGTTGGGCTTGTCCTGAAAGAGCACAGGGCTAGGGTGATAAGCTGAAGGAATTCGTCAGATCTCTGTGAGAGATTAGGTTATCTGTAAACCGGAGAAATCGGGATGACATTTACAGGGACTCGGGAATCTATGCATAGTAAAAGAGATCATGAGATGATCTGCCTTTAGAGTCAGTAAATTGAAGATTCCCTATTTCGAATAAAGCTTACCCTAAACCGCAAGGGTTGATATGTTTCCTTACCCTAGGTTTTATGGGAAGGTAACCGAGACGAAAGGAAATACATACGGCAACCAAATATGTGTAATATGATGATTATGTCATTAACCTAACTAGCTATGGGGCAACAAAGCATTGCTAGTGCTCTGTGTTGTCATTAGATGGGTTGTGGGCTTATTGGGCCCAAGCCCATTTATGTCAGTGGCTATGTTGGGCCTAATGGGTCACACACTAACATCTTATTGTCATGACAATATAGCATTAAAGGTATTGGGCCTAATAATGGTTGTTAGCCCAAGAAGAAGTTTGGAAGCCCACCAAAAGGAAAAAAGGGCGCATGGTTAGTTAATGGGCTTGGATGGTCCAAGACATTACTAATTAATTTAATTAGTTAAATTAATTATCAAATGTTTAAATTTTGAATTTTGAATTTGAAATTTGAAATTTGAATTTTGAATTTGAAATTGAAATTTGAAATTTTGAATTTTGAATTTTGAATTTGAATTTTGAATTTGAAATTTGAATTTGAATTTGGAATTTGAATATTTGAACGTTTGAATTCAAATGTTTGAATTCGAATTTGAATTGGCTATGAAAAAGTTGTTTCATAACAAAAGGATAAGATAAGATCTTGTTGGAACAAATCCCAAATATCAAGAGGAGATCTTTGAGAATCTTCTAGTGAGGATATGGGGCGCTGATTTAGGTATCTGATGATGGTCATAGGATCAACCAAATGAGCTCCAGTCAGATTTGGTTTGTTGAGAGAATAAGTGAGACAGTTGGTTCAAGTTTGAATGCAACTGTTCAATGTATCTGGACTGTTATGAGGCCAAGTGGGGCGCACCATATGGCTGGCCATATGATGGTTGTTGAGTCAGATTCTTGTTGAGATATTCACTTGATATCATGAGGATGTGAGAGGAGGTTGTTGACAAGATTTGAATTTTGCAACAACTCCACTCATCCCCCTAGTGTGCGCTATATATAGGGCCTTATTTGAGTGAAGAAAATTAGATTTTTAATTAACTCATTCTCTCATCTCCTTGTGGGTTCCTTTTGAGGTTTTTCTTAAGAGAGTTTCGAAATAACCTAGCCTTTTTCAAAGAAAACCATGCGCCACTTTTGTGTCTATTCTTGCTGAATATTCACTCTTCTAAACACCTTGACCTAGCCTCCTCCTTCACACATTGGGCGCATAGCTTGCCTCCATTGGTGTTTTCGTTGGTGGCCTTGAAGAAGTGTTCTTCCGTCTTGACAAAGGGTGGTGTGGATCAACATTAGAGGGCTTGCATCTTCAAGCCTCATCTTGATCATCCTCCAGTTTTGGAAAGCAAACAAGGTAACATCCATGCCCTAAATCATGTTTCTTGATATGGTATGTGTTATTCCGCTCGAAAAATTTTGTTTTTCCCTCTCACATGCCTCGACCTTCAAGGTCAGTTTCTTTCACCAACCGCTACCTAAAAGATATAGCTTGCAGTGAAGGACCTTGCTTTTTGTTTTTCCACTTATTATGGAGGCAGGATACTCATTTTAAGTTGAAGTTCTTCAAGGGTCTATGAACATATCTTTTTACTAGAATGGAATGAATCTAAGACCAAACTTTTCCTCCTAGGACAAGGGTCAAATTTGAAACATACCTCAGCATATCTCTTATCCTATGAAACAATGTTCAAGGGCTCAAGGTCCTGTAATTAATTAAAACATATCTTCTGTTGTTGCATTATATTCAAATCACAATTCATTCTCTTTTGCAGTTAGCATGATGCTTTATCTATAGAAGAATGGCCTTCGGCTTCTTTCTTTATTGATTGGATATTATGGGTTGATTTCAGGTGATTTTGGATGAAGCTATTGTAAAACTAACTCCTGATTTCTTTTGGTTGGGTGGCGGTGAGATTGATCTGAAGCTAGGGATCCGGACATCTCAATTAATCAGATTTATCAACCCATTCATCGTCAGCTGCAGCAGTAATTGATTTTGTTGGACAGAATGTGGGTAGTGTAATTGAGTTTACCTGGAGAGTTGCCATTTTCAGCTTTCCGTTGCTGATTATTATACGGTTTGAATTATTGCCCCTTCATAAAGATATTTATTTTTCTGAGCGAGTTTTGTGGTCTGCTTAAGTGATTATCCTTATGTTTTACATATATTTGTATGCAACCAACATCGTGGCTTCGTATTTTATATATGTTGCAAGTTAATAACACCATAAGAAAGAAAATGATAAGTTGAGGGTGCTTTTGGTTCGTAGTAATGTTTTCTGTTTTGATTTTCTATTTTCACTAGTAATTCCAAAATGTGACTTTGTTTTCACTTTATTTCTTGTTTTCAAGATTTTTATAGGAAATGATAAATTTTGAAAAGAGGAAATAAAATTAAAGTTATGCGACATTTTTGCGATTAATAGTGAAAACAGCAAATTAAAACAGAAAGCATTCTACAAATCAGACGCAGCCTTAGCTTTTTTATTTTGATTGAGTCATTTTATATCATGAGGAATGTGTCGGTATAAGCCATACCGATCAATGTCCGAACGACTTTCTTAGAAGTTTAACACAGGAAGTGACGACGCTCGAGTTTAGAAGCATGATGAGTCTTTGGCTATCAGATAGAACGCCTGTATGTTTAATTATCCATATTGGAGTGGGTGGGTGGGTTACTGTTAGAAAAATTGGAATTAGCAATCAGAAGAAATTACATAAAATAACGATTACGAGTATGATTATATATATTGAACGAGTGACTATTGCGAAACATGGGATCGGCGACGTGTTATTTAAATCCCATATACTGAAAGATAGATAGTATTTCCTTATGTTATCAAAAAAAGATAGTATTTCCTTTTCCTTTTCTTGCTGAAAGATAAATCCCATAGTCCTAATTCTGCCATATACTGATTACTGACTCAATTCTTTTTAAACTAGTTTGGTTCAACTCAGAAAATAAATAAATAAATAAATATTTAATACCGGTGTGGGTCGACGCCCACCCTTACTACTATACCTACTTTCCCTATTGAAACACTTAACTACTCGCAAGTATCACTTTGCAATTAACATGATTATCCCAGATATGCATGAACAACCAAGAAAAGAACTGAAAGAGTGAACGAGGAAACTTTTTAACATGAAACAGGTTCTTAGAATTTATATACAACTGTACATAACATTGAGACCACTGTTCTTTGATATTGAGTACCATCACAAATTTATGAGACAAGCCAATTAGGGATCAACCGGATCATATAGCGTAAATCTGTTAAATTCTAGTGGGAAGCCAGATCTCCAAAGGTGTTCTCCCCACTGTAAGTAACATAAAGAAAACCATCTTCATCCTTCTTCTCATCATATATGGCAGACATAATTGCTCCTGGAAAAATTGAAAACTCAGAAAAGTGGTAGGCTAATAATACTCTCTATGTTAGAAGGCTAAAGAATCATCCTAAAAAAAAAGTGGAGGAGAATACAATTTTCTGAAATTTACCTGTAGGTGGAAGGACATTGTCCACAAATATAAAGATTGCCTTTTCTGCACTCAATTTAATCCTTTTGCGGATAACATAGACAAACTGACCAACTGTCAGATCAGCTGGGACAAGGTACCTATAATTAATTCATTCAGTTTGATAGCTTGAAACAGATGACGTACAGTTGCTACTTGCCATTTATACATATTAGAAATTTTATAAGTCAACTGGCAGAAAGTCATTTCAGTGGCAATATTACAACACAAAATATCTAGTCAACCATAAAATCTTGAGTTTAATCTGACAGAAGCAAATGCAAATCCATCTCTACCAAGCTATACAATAACCAACACTCATATAGCATCAAATTCTTTGAAAATAGGCAACCGATTCAAATTCTGTTAATCCAGTTCAAAATTCATGTTCTCACAAAATGGAAAAACGCATATAAAATGGAAAAACGCATATAAAATAGAAGCCGCAATTATAACTTTAGTTACCCACAATATCATGAATTGGTAGTCATTCATATAACTAGTAACTTACCAATATCAGCAAATTTCTCAACTACCTAATAGTCTATCATGCCAAATTCAAAAAAATGGTTTTGATCAATCCTGCTACTGAGTTATAAATACTTATTATGTCAAAATTGCATGCCAAATTTTAGAAAATCAAACAACAGGAATGCTATCAAATGTTGAATTTTCTTTTCTTTGAAAAGTATGTTGTATATTAATTTAAGAAAAAATGGATGAGTAAAATAGTTTTAATTTTTTGTGAAACTTCGTGAGCATGTCTGTCACGATACACAATTTCAATCCAATGTGGAATTCATGTAAAAGTTATCTACTAAAACATACTCACTGGAGCAGGCTTCTAAATCTACAAACTTTGTAATGACTACAGCCATTTATAGACAAATAGAGAAAAATCTTGAAGATCCAGAGATACTGGCATAAAAATAATAATAATAATAATAATTTGTCAGCTTCCTGACTCTGGTCGATGACCTCCCTTTTCAAAATATATGTTCTAGTTAAAATACAAAGCATATCAAATTTGCTATAACATTCCATTCTTTTGAAGAAACAAACATATGAGCAGAAACAATTAATGTGACCTTTGCAGATTATAGGAAAAGTATTGATAAAATCTTACTTCTTCTTGTCAATACTTGGGATATCACTTCTTTCTGCCTTCTCCACAATCACCTTCAGGCACATTGAGAGACAATTTAGCACCATAACTATAGATGTATCACTGATGTACATTTTTAAGTATCACAGGTACAGCAGGCAGCAAGTAGAAGCATAAGTTAACAAGAATTGCCCTTGACTGATATTTTATAATATGTATTGCTGCCTGAAAACTTAAAATCATCCTATCTCTAAAGCTGGATATTACTATCTCATCACCTAATTGGAGGGAAGGTTCAAATCATCCTATCCGTTGCTTCCCTGTGACTTAAATGATGTGACTATGATATTAAACAGAGTAAAATAAAATGAAACTGTTCAGGCTCCTTAGCACTGTAAAATCATAACTAAGAAAAACTACCTCAAAGCAGAAAACAAAATAGCTTGAGGGCATAAAATACTCCCATTACTAAATCCAACATTTGGTGAAAGTTCATGAATGCACAGGTTCATATGAAAAAATCATTTGAATATTCTTCCTTAAGTTGAATCTATTCTATAATTCAGTAACTCTATTCAGTCATTTAACTTCCAATAAAGGATTTCCCCCACAAAGTTAATTTATACATGCAGAGAGCAAAATTAGAAAAAAAGAAAAAAAAAACTGACAATTTGGCATGCAATATAACTCCAAGATGTTTTAAAAACCGGAGTAGACTAGACCACCCAGTTGAACCAGTCGGACCATGAACTGGCTATGTTTCTGGTCCAAACATTATCTGGTTCAACCAAAAATTTAACCAGTTAAACCAATCAAACCATAACCTGAACGTCTTACCGGTTGATTTTAAAAACATAAGAGTCTTACAATAAAGTATTTCCTCACAGTGAACAACGCTAAATCTTGAATATCAAATATGTAGTCATGCCACATGCATTTATCACTATTGACCTAGTTTCTCTTTACGAAAGGTTGTTAATGAAGCATCAAGGATACCGCATCCAGTAATATTCTAACACAAAGGTCAAATGATAGTAAGCTGTATATGTTGCCAAATCATGACATGAAAGGGAAAACAGATAAAAGACTTAATTTAAACAGCACAATACATTTACAGGAAGAAAAAAAGTAATAGAAATTGAAAAGCATTGACTCCTCAACCGTCAAAACACATAAAAGAATAACACTGCTTCTGCCACAAATATATGATTCACGTAGATGGAATCATCAGTAACAGATAGTTGCAGAGGAAAAATCACAACTAGCTCTCACCGGTATACGGTCTGGGTATTTCTCCCTAATCCTAGCAGCCTCAGCTCTTCTCTTCTCTGGAGAAAAAACGAATCATTTATTTGTATATTCCTCAGCTTTCCACACACACAATCAAAGTAATTATATTTCACCAACCAAAAAAAAAAAAAAAAAAAAAGCAGCATATACCAAGATCATGCTCTTGTTTGAAGTAACTCTTTGCCATTCTACCTGGAATCAGCATTAATCAAAAGTCAATTAAAACTAAAATGAAATATGCATGGTCCATTCGTCCGAAAAAGGACAATTAGTTCGCCAATCACTCAAAATCAATATCACTATATTTTATAAACAAAAAATTAAAAAGGGGCATCTTTGAGAAACAAAAACACCCAAATTAACAAATAAAAACCCAGTAATAATCACAAAAGGAAGAAGAAATCAATTATTAAATAAATAAATAAAATCCTAACAGAATATTAATCTTCGTTACATAATACAAAATTAAAAAGAGCCCTAAATTTCAGATAATTTATTTTGTGGAATTTCCGATAAACTTTACGGCAACGGAATTTAGGAAAAGAGAAAACCCTCTAATCTTTCCTCAAATAAGAGAGAAAGCTACAAAGCGGTCTTGACAATCTACTTCTTATGGGGGCAGAAAAATTATTGGTCGATGAATAATTTTGGAAACCCAAAACCTCATGGTTGAGAAATTTTAATAAATATAATTCAGTAAACTAAACCTCTCGAAGATGATCGAAAAATAGAAGAAAACCAACGCTCTCGTCTCTTGATCAGAACACCAAGAAACCCGTGTTTGCTTCAAGAAAAGAAAAATATTGCTTCTTTGCTTGCATATGTCTTTTGCCACTATTTATATTATTTTGAACTATGGTTTCATTTTGATACGCTTCTCGCATAAAATTTATCATTTAATCTGTTAGATTAATTATGTTGATCCAACGGTTATATTTATTTTCATCTTTGTATCATCATGATTTTTTAAATTTAATATTTTATATTTATTTTCACAATGGTTATGACTTATGATTTTTCATATTTAATGCTTTTATTTTAAATATGAGGAATCATAATCATACAAAGATGGAAATAAATATAACTGTTGGGTCAACATAATCGATCTAACGATAAGATTGATTGGTAGTAACATGGTAGTAACACAACTAAGTTGTTACAATATCCTTCCCCGTAATCTAATCATATTTTGACAATTTGTTAAAGAAATTGGTTATTCTGATTACTATTTATAAACTTAATATTTTCAAAATGTGTTACAATATTATTAACTAATGTTTTGAAACAAATTGCATTATTCATACATCAAATATGATCCCTTACAATTTATAAGCCCACGTATATCTTAAAAAATATGTTTATCCTATAGTTAAGCTGAAATTCATGGGTGAATTAAATGAGTTTTTATTTATTCATTAATCTGAAATTCATGGGTGAATTAAATGAGTTTTTATTTATTCATTAATATATTAGTTAATCTGTATTTGGATTAACTTCTCATTAGAGTGATTTTTTATAACTTTTTAAAGAACTTTTAAGAAATCAATAATTTTTAACAAGCTAATTATTTAGTGACATATTTATAGATGATTATTCGTGTTAGAGAAATATAATATTAAATCCTTAATATAACCTTATTTAACATCTTAAATTTTTGGGCTAAATTGATTCTTTATATGATATCAAAACTTCTGTGACTAAGGGTGTGCATCACAATCATTCTATTCCCTAGCACTGTTTCTGAAAAAAAATAACCAATTATTTTCTATACTAAGGGTGTGCATGACAATCATTCTATTCCCTAGCACTGTTTCTGAAAAGAAACAATTCTTTTCTATTTTTGTGTCTTGGAGCAGTTTCTGAGAAAAAAATGTGTTTGATAACATTTTCTATTTTTATTCTGAGAATGAGAATTGTGTTTGATAACACAACAAATAATATTATAAAAAAAATTCCTATTAAATATAAATTTTTTTTGGATCATCACTTTTCTTTCCATATGGTGTGGCTATGGTGGTGGCAGCGGCGGTAGTGGTGGTGACAGTGACGTGGTGATGATAGTGGTGGTGGTTGTGATGGCAGTAGATGCGGCAATGGCGGTGGTAATGGTGGCGGTGGTGGTGGTGGGGATGGTGGTGGTGGAGGTAACGACAGTGGATGCGACAATGGTGGTGGAGATGGTGGTGGGTGACGGTTGTGGTTGGTGGCGACGACAATGGTAGCGATGACATGGTGGTGGTGGTGGTGGTGGCAGGTGACAGTGGTGGCGGTGGTGGTAGTGGTGGCAATGACGTGGTGATGGTAGTGGTGGTTGTGGTGACGGTAGTGGTTGTGACTATGGTGGTGTTGGTTGGTAGCGGTAGTGGTTATGACGATGGTGGTGGCGACGGTGGCGGTAGTGGCCGCGGCAATGGTTGTAGTGATTGGTGACAATGGTGGTGATGGTACCGGTGGCGTCATGGTGGTGGTAGTAGTGGCAATGATGGTGGTGATGGTGGCAGGGACGACAGTGGTTACAATGATGGTGATAATGGTGATGGTGACGGTGATAGTGGTGGTGGTGGCGGCGGTGGTAGTTGTAGTAGTGGTGACAGTGGCATGGTGGAGGTGGTGGTGATGGTGGCAGTGGCATCGTGGTGGTAGGGGGTGGTAACAATGACATTAGTGATACAACGGCTGCGGCAACAATGTGGCGGTGGTCATGTCGGGATGGTGGTGGTGGTGGAGAGTGATTGAGAGAGATAAATGTTTCTCATTTTGTGCCCGGGAACAAAAAAACAGAACTTTTCTTATTCTTTTTTCTGTTCCCCAGCACAAAAATTAAACTGGTTCATCCCAGGAAACAAAAAAATAACCCGATTTTTCCAAATGAGTTTTCTATCCGTTTCTGTTCTCGAAAACAGAAATTAAAAAAATATTGATTCCGGGAAGATTATTATGTGTACCTAAGTGATTACAAATTCGTTTCTCCCTGACTACCACCCAATACTGCGTGTTGAAAAAATATAATATAAATCTAGCCTCACTTAATTACTTAGATTTTTACGTTGAATTGATATTTTACATATTGTAAATGGGATAAGATTCATTTACAATTTTTTTTTGCAAATTACACTAAATACGATCGGTCGTATACTGCTTGATTAAAGTATGACTGGTCGTACTTAGTGTAATTTGTAAGAGTTTATAAACAAAAAAATTTATAAATATAACCTACCCCATTTAAATATAGTAATTTAGAGTAGTTCAATGTGAGGGATATAGTCATGCATATCTCTTTGTCATTTCTTTTCATTCAGTGTATATAATTGAGCTTCCGTTGTATAATTAAAACACTATGTCTCTCATGTCTTCGCGTTTAACAATTCAATAATATTAACCCTTTAAGATTTGATGCAAGACATAGCTTTAGTGCTTTAACAATTGGCATTCACTAATCAATATATATTATGGAAAAAAGTGTCTATCATTTAAAATTACACAACTTACATCTTTTCACTCTCACAAAGAGGTGGACCCACACTTTTTTTTTTGTCAACTCTCTCTCCTCCTTTATCTATCTCTTTCTCTCTCTTAAAATGACACAACTTTACATCCTTTAAAATTATACACACTTTTCCCATATATTATTATAAGGCATAATTCTCTTCAAACATCATTATTATATTTTTAAATTAATTAATAAAGAGTAAACACGAAAATTTTAAAAATATACACTAATATTTTTATTTTTATTTATTTATGATTTTATCAATTATTTGAGAAATTTAATTCGTTCCCCATAAGAATGATTCCTTCAAAAATATTTTTTATATTGCGAGGACTCGAATGTATTTTTCTTTATTATTATCACTTGAATAATAGTTATTGATTCAAATTAGTTTACAATGAAGAGTTTCTTTAATGGTTAAGAAAGTGTAGCAAGGGATAAGGAGTTTTAATTGTAATTAAAACCCAACTCGGGATTGCTCTTATAGTTGGATCAAAGAATTAAAGTTTGTGGGGATACTTAGGGAACTGACTCATCTCTAAAAGATAATTAGGATCGGTACATAAAAAAAATATACTTTCTTAATTGAATTTTAAAATTTGGGTCAGAATCATTTGACATTGATGTAAGCTATATTTTTAATTTTGATTGTCGATTATATTTACATTTAGGAATAGGATATACTTATCATCAATTAAGTGTACCATTTTTTACTACCAAATCTTAATCGTTAATTTTCGTCATTATGACAGTTATAATTTAGGGAGAGATTATACTTACTATCTTTTTTTCTTATTACTTCTTACTATCAAATTTTAACCGTTAATATTCGTCAATCTATCGGTTATAATTTAGTAGAAATTAATAATTAGTTAATAAATATGACCTAAAAAATTCTAACTGTTAGATGACGGAAATTAACGGATAAGATTTGGTAGTAAAAGATAGTAAGAAAAAAGGTAGTAAGTATAATATTTTTCTATAATTTATTGAGAATTAATAATTAATTAATAAGTGTCATCCAATAGATATAACTGTCAGATTGAAGAAAATCACCGATTAAGATTTGATGATAAGAAATAATAAACTTAATTGACGGTAAGTGAATCTCTTCCGTTATATATAATGAATCTGATTTATCACATATATAAGAATTTAGATACAAATAAATCAATAGCTAAAATGTTATGTATTTAGAACTTAAAAAATTGAGAAAAAAATATCCTTCTAAAAGATGGTCATTTTAGTTAAAATTAATATTTTTATTTAAAATTTAAATTAAAAAGATCAATTTTCTCTCTCATAATTTTCACTCATTATGTATCTCTTTCTTTCACTTAAAATGAAATAATTTTATCCCTTCACCAAAAAAATGACACAATTACATGTTCTTTAAAAAAACAAACACCGCACCCTTAAAAATATTTAATTTTCATCTGAATTGTTTAAAGAGAAGTTACTTTAACTCGAAAATACTCACAAACAATTAAAAATATAATTAAATATTAAATTTTCAGCAGTACTCAGTGGCTAAGCCCACCAGCCACCGAACCACCTCATCTGCTATCATTAAAATACAACCTACATCATTTAAAAGTCCACCGGCACACATCATCTGTTATCATTAAAATGGAAAAATAATTTGGCAATGCAAAGTTAGTTTTGCATTAATTTTATAAATGAAAAATACTTTAATTTTTTTAAGGGACATGTTATATTTACAAACTCTTACAAACTACACTATCTTCTCCCGGGAAAACACTAGTTTCACTATCTTGTTCTCATGGGAGAAGATAGTGCAATTTGTAAAAATTTGTAAAAAAAGTTTGTAAACGGATCCTGCCCTTTTTTTATATAACACATTTATATATTTAATTTTACAAAGTAAATTTTTAAACCAATTAAACTCTTGAAAAAATTATATATTTTCACCAAAAAATTATGTACACATAATTATTAAAATATAATTTTCATGAATGTGAAAAGTTATATTCGTTATTTGTGGGATTAGTTAATGAGATTTGTATTTGTCATTTAACATGACACAACAAAGTTTTTTATACACACAATATTTTGTGAGGTCCATACTTTTTGAAGAAAAAAGAAAAAAGAAAATTACGGCATCCAATATGAATCTCTATAACATTACATAATCAATTTTCCTACAACATAACTCTTATAAAACCCTTAGTTAATAATTAACGCCACCGAGCCACCTCATACGCTGACTGCCATGTGCCATCCCTGAAGCGAAAGTGTGATGGAAAAGGATACGACTTCTGGAATAATGGGTATATTCCGTGAGAAATTTTTTATTTATTTATTTATTTTTTACTTTGGTTGGTGCTGCGT